AAAGTGATTTTACACGAGGTGCCATCACTTTTTTTCCTAGGAGTATCTGATACAAAATAAGCACTTAGTAAGTACTTAGCTAACTATGTTAACCTTGCTAAGTACCTAGCAGGCACAGGGTTCCCCTAAGTAGGAACCGAGGCGGAGATCTGTTCGCTCTTGGATCGCTGCGGTGGGGGGCCGCGGCTGCGGGCTTTGGAGACATCGGTCATAGACCGGTCTGAGGTAGTCTTGCGGGGGTCTGGGAAACAAGAGATGGTGTCATGCCCGTTAAGACAGTAATGTAATGATCTCTTTCTCTTCCGGTGGGATGGCTTGGTACTTCCATTCAGGCTTAAATTTGCTCTTGGTGAACCTTTCTGGAGCGGTCCAATTTTTTTCGGTGAGGAGGTGCGTGATTTCTTCAGCTTCCCATTGGCGTGGAACGCCTCGAATCAGGTAGGAGCGGGGTTGTCGCGCAGTTGGATCGCCTTTTGATGCAAGGATGCCGAGGTAATTCGTAGCGTGGCTTTTGCGGTAGAACAATCCTGAATGTCAGTTTGCTTTGCGCCTGCTGTTGGCAGCGGGGTCGTTGAGGTCACGGGCAATCCAGGTGATAGGTTTAGGGATGGAGTCGGTTTCCTGGACGTTGACGAAAATGCCTCCTGCGCCGCTATGTGTCAAGAGCTTTTCTGCGTGTTTGCAGGGCAGGCGGAGGTATCCAACTAAGGAGTCGTGTTTGGTCCAAGTTTCGGTCCATTGACCTCCTGCGAGTACGCCTGCGCGGAGCGTTGTCTCCCATTGAGCCATATCTGCGACGATAAGGTGTGGCTTGTCTTGAGTGTCATGGAAGAACTGTCGATACTCAGCTGGGGCTGCGAAACACAATGTGTGTCGCGGGATGACGTGTGATGTAGTTTGTTGAGTCCAGGGATGTTTCCCGTCTGTGCCCAGGGCGAGCAAGGCGACATCCTCCAGCAGTTTGTCCTCAACGACCTCGCATCACGCGAATGCGAGTGTATGTGTGTTTTTTGGCTGGTCCTTGTAATAGAAGGGTCAGAGAGGTGGTGAGGCCATGCGCACGCCAAGCGGTGCGGAGAGCCTCGGCTTCTGTCAGAGACCAGACCTCTATGATATTGGCTTTGGGCAGAGGTTTGCCCTCTCGGATGGCTTGCAGTATCTCGGCGCTGTGGCCCAGGTTGAGTCCACTCGTGTGAGACCAGGTGTGTGATAGCGCTGTTTGCCGGATCTTTGCTAGATCGACGCCATCGGTTGTTGGCGTTGGCCGAAGGTGGTGACTGTAAAATGAGCGTACGGTGTGATGGTGGAGCGCCTGGTCTAGAATGCTGTTTAACGGAGTAAGGAGTGTCAGAAGTTGTTGAGCCAGTTGCTGATAAGTGTTGTGCTGTGACTGACTTTCGGTGAGGAGAGTGTGCAGCTGGTGTGCTAAGCTGTCACTGGAGGTCGCTGGGGCCGGCTTGGGAGGTGGTGCCGGGCGACGCCGTTTGGGCGGTGTAGATTTGGTTGAATCTCCTTGACTTTGCCACTGCTGGTGCACCTGCGTGACAGCTTGTGCAAGTGTTTGGTCTGCTGCAAGGTGGGTTCTTCCCACCGCTTACGTTTGGTAGCTGCCGAGGCGGCGGCCCCGCCGGCCAGGTCGGGGAAAGGTCGCTGGCTGTAAGCGGCTGTGGCATGGAGACAGCCGCCTCAGCCGGTGGCTAAGTTCAGTTCTGCAAGTGCTGGGTCTTGGAGAGAAGTCTGGTCCAGTGGCGTAGTTGGAACCCAGATGGAGTAGGTATAGGTTGTGTAGCGACCCTTGGCCGGCGCGGCCGGCGCAGTCTTGTAGGGCGCCCCTGGCTCCAAAAGTGGAGTCGCTGTGCATGCAGTTTGGTGGCACATCTTCGGTGCCGAGTGCGAGGTGCTGAGACGCGAGAGCGTCCTGCGCGCCTATCTTGGAAACAAGCCAAGCGGTGAAAGTGCATGCTTGTATATGGCTTTTATGTTTTGATATGTTTTGGTTTTCTGTCCCATTTCCCCTGAATCAGTGGTTTTTCCAACGGTGTTGGTGAATTAAGTGAGGATGTGTCCAATCCACAAGCTGTTGTTGGTGGATTGGGTGTAGTCATCCGAGTCATCCAATCCCATACCACGGCCAACAAGCCCAGTGCTAGAAGCCATGCAAGGTGCACGGGTGGTGCTGAGGCTGAAGTGGTGCCTATAGTACCGAGAAGCGTCGTGAAAAAGATCCATGAAGCCAGGTGGTGTGTGGATTTCGTACCTTTGCAGGCCCTCGACCACCGAGGCCAGGCCATAGCTGACCAGGAGGCATCCACGTAGTCGCGAGACAAGTGAGGGGACAAATGGGGAGACAAGTAAGGAGACAAGAAAACAGCGGCAAACCAAAAGGCGATCACACAGGCAACCAACTGGGGAGGCATGTAATGGTTACTGTAAGGAGACAAGTGGGGAGACAAGGCAGAAGTGGCAGCGGTGAGCCAAAACGGAATACAGGTACCAAAACGGCGATCACGCAGGCAGATAAGTGGGGAGACATGTAAGGAGACAAATGGGGAGACAAGGCAGCAGCGGCACAGCAGCCGCACACACGGCAAAACCAAAACGGAATGCACCCAGTTTTTGAGAAGTACAAGCCCCTATAGCTATCCCTACCTTGTGAAAACGACTTGGTGCAAGTCATCTGTTCATGTCATTTCCAAAGCTAAAACCCACTTGAACGTTTGAAACTCTCAAGCTCTTTGAGGAAAGAAACCAACAATGACGCATAGCAACCTTCTTGGTGGCTTTCCAACTTTCCACCATGTCTCAGGCGCCGGGCAGTGCATAGTCATCCTCCAGACCTCGCACTGCCTTGGGGCAGCTGTCTAGATGAACCAAGCTAAATCACACAAGAAACAAAGCGGAATGAAATCATGAGTTGCTACAGGTTTCCAACAAAAAGGATTAAAAGGAGGTGTTGTTCAACAAACATTATTCTTTTGGAGTAAGTAGTCCCGGGTGGTGTGGCGACGCCAAGATTCAACACCTTTAATATACTAAGATGAAATAGCATCTCCTTTTTGAAGCTGGATCAAAAAGCAGTTTCAGACTTCAGGACTGAGACGGGTGCAGATTTCCAGTTGAACAGCTCTTTCTTGTAGGCAAGATATGATTTGACAAAGTCCTGCTTCGTGCACTGCAGTGGTGGATGCAGCGCATCATCCAAGACACAATGATTAGCAAAGAAACAAACATTTCAGAAGCCCCGAAATGAGAATTTCCCACTATAATTACAGTAGAGGTTCACTAACGAATGACAAGGCCAAAAAAAGCTGTTGTTCGTGTTGAACAAGTTAGCGTGCGAAAGAACTAGCACTTTGCAGTAACATTCAACTGCAAAGAAACACCCTCCAAAAACCATTCAGAATCGTCCAAAAGATCTGTCCATACAAAATTCAACATCAAGGCGTCCAATTCAACATCGAGACATCTCATTTCAAAATTCAGAATGAGCAAGGGCTCGCGGCTGTCCAGATGCGCACGTTCATAGGCCTGGCAAAAGCTATCGAATCACAGGCATTGGTCTCAGAATAGTTGTGTATGATGTAATACAAGCGCAATGTATTATAATATACTGTAATGTAGTATATCGTCTAGTAATGTCTAGTAATTATATATATATATATAAAGGTCTTTGAAAGGAGAAGGGAATATGGGTCAGGTTTCCCTTTAATTACAGGTAAGGTCCCTTTTAAAGAGGCCTTACCGCACCCTCTTTGTTGACTCTCTTTGTAATCGCAAGTTTAGTGAACTATTTTGGTCAGAGGCTCACACATTCTCCTGATGCAAAACAGCGCTCCCGCCTCAGCCTTGGACTCCAAGTTGTTGAGCTCTGCTTTGGATAGCTCATTGGCCTTGCAACGTCGCCAATCTCGAAGTGATGCCAGGCTACACAAATCCCCATACCCACACAGATATGTACACATTGCAAGAACGGATGCTTTCTGTGTCGAGTCCTGACTCGTGAATGTCAACTATGCAAAGTGAACAGCTTGTCCGTTGTTCGTCACACAGTCTTATAATAGTCTGTCCCAGTGGATTACTCAACAGGTTGCCTAGCAGTTTGGATGGATGATCTTTCATCCACTCGCTCATGACTTGCCATCAAAGCCGACTTGACTATGTTCAACCTGTTGCGTTTTACTCTCAACCGTGCTCCCTCTTGGGCTACCCAGGCTTGGTCCATCTGACTAGCGACCTCAGACATAATGTTGCGGTTCAGAAAGAAAACAATCATGGGATGCCCCTCTACTCCCTCGACGTGCTTTGTATTATTGGTCTGCGCAAAAAACACACACACAAAACCACTAGGCCATCCATCATTTCCACACTGGGCCTTGTCCTTTCCTTATTATTTGAAACCAAGACACATCTTGGCTACCCAGGTACCTGGAAACAACAAGCCGCCAGCGACTGTCAGGTCCGTAGTACAGCAACCACAGCAAGTCTTTGAGGTGTCTATTCACTCCTCCCAGCATTTGATATGTCTCAGCCATATATATATATATGGTGGTTGATCAATATTCTTTCATCCTGGAATGGCCATTCATCGCGGAAAAAAAGATATCTTTCGCGGATCTTTCGCGGCCTCATCGCGAAGCATGGTCCTACAACCATGTCTAGCTAACATGAGCCGGAACATGTCATAATAGGGAGAGACATCTTGCAGCATGACCCCAGTAGATGGTTGAACGTTTCCACAGCTACTCAGGGTCACTTGCAGCATCTGTGCGACAATTGTGCCAAATAGAGTCAGGCACAACTCAACCCAATCCTCGTGTCAGCTACCAACACAGGGTGATGCAGCTTGGGGAATGTTGGGGGCCTCAAGCTGGGAACCTAGACTTTAGCGGCACATTCGCGAAACTTTCGCGGATCTTTCGCGAAATTTCACTGGTGCTTTCCCCGGGACGCCGTAACATTTGCAAACATCTGCACAGCCCGTCAGAGCAGCGGCAGGTCGTTGCCTCACTGTCAGGGCTGCGCCTACCCAGCTTGCTAGTATGTGACAGTGGGGACAGGAATCGGAGAATTGAAAAAGATCACACGCCTCTTTTCACGTGTACTTTGGGCCTCAAGTATGTGCGCAGTTCACCTAGATGCATACCATGTGTTCCACCAACTATGACATGACTGAACTTCCTCTCGATCCTAACACGGCCCCTATCGTTGGCGGAACACAGTACGCACAAGGCTTCAGGAATTTCACGCCGGTGTTGTTCACCACGTGACTGCACTCATGAGAGTGGTAGCAGGATCCTGTACGTGTCACCTGCCATTCCTTCCTCTCCAAAGTGAAGTGGGCTGCACGTCGCACTTCAGCCAAATTGGCTGCAGCTTCCCTCTCCACTTCTTTCACTCTATTCTTCCAAATCTCAACTACTTCCCAGGCTCGCACATTGTCTTCGGCCAGGCGTTCCATTTCATGGGCACGTTCGTCATCTGTTCCTCCAAGCCTGTTTGCTTTTCTCACTGCTTCTTCCTTCTCCTGCTTCACATTCTCCAGTTCAAAGCGAAGGTCGGTGCACATGTTGTACATCCGGATGACCTCACGATGCTGGATGTCTCTATCCTTTCGGATCTCCATCATCTTCTCTTCTTGTTCAGCTACTGCCACTTCCAGCTGAACGATCTGCCATTGCATGTTCACTTTCTCCTGGTCTTCTTCCTGCCCAGGTTCTTCATGCTGTGGTGCTCTCATCTCATCTTCATTTCTCACATGCGGATTCACCGCTTGGCCATGATCACGTTCATCTTGCTTTTCCTCAATGATCTCCTCGATGGTCCCTTCATGGACACGTCTTCCATTCCACCATGCCCTTGCTCCATCTATTGCTAGCCGTGCCAGACTCAAGGCCCCGATCACTGCCAAACATAGCATGGTCACCAATGGCCGCACCCACCAGGACTCATCATCTTGGTCATCATTCCCTGGTTCTTCAACTTCAGCGCCTTTCCCACCTTGTAGCAATGACAAGGCGATCACCAATGCTACCTTTGCATTTGCCCCCATGGCCTTTGCCATCTTGGTGGTGTTCTTCTTGAGCTCCTCCTTCAACTTGATCTCATCATATTCGGATTTTCCGATCTTCTCATCGTCACCGTCGATCATCCTGATCAGGTATTTGAGGCCGTTCATTCTTGCTTTGCTGAGAATCTTGGTCCCAATATCACTTGGGTTCACTGCCGTTGGGATCCCCGTGATGCGCACTTCCTTGGAGTTGACCCGTTGTTGCAACCACAACAGTCCTGCTGCGATGTGCCTCGTCCGTCCAACTCCAATGCGTCCTGCCAGAGCCCTTGCTGCTGAGGAGTCTGATCTGCAGACCATCTCGGCTTCTTCACCTGTCAGGAACTGCCAGCAGTGTGTCGGATGAAAATGCCTTCGCTGCATCCTCCAACCATCGCAACATACTCACTTTCCACTCGACAAAGCTATTGATCGCTGGCTCCTGACATAGCTTTCAACCAAGCATCCGTTGAGAAAAATCTGCACCGAGCTCACAGACTTTCGACTATCTCGCTGACCAGCGTAGTCTGCATCACAAATGACTTCCAACATGCTCCTGCTTTCCTGGTCGATGTTCCATTCGTAGATGCCGTCATCTGTGTTCAGCATACATCGGCCTTTGGCTCCATGTTCGAACAAAATGCCCTCATTCATGGTGCCAAGCAGGTAGGAGCTTACATGTTGCATTGCCCTCCAAGCTTTCTTCGTTGGGCATGACATCAGACTTGCCAACCCCTGAGCAACATATTGGATGTCTGGCCGATCAGGTGCAATGTACAGGAGCTTCCCAACTGCGCTCCTGTATTTGGTGAAGTCTTCTGCACTCATGGGCTCATCCTCTTTGCTAAGCTTGTTGAAGTTTCCGTCACCCGGGGTAGACCTGATCTTCTTCTGGCAAACCTTTGTCAACTTGGCCAGATCTTTGATGTGTTGCTTGTCAGGGCGAATCGTGATGCCACTTTCAATGATCTCCATCTGTTTCTTCAAATAGTTGAACTCTCCTGATCGAAGTGGCCCACGTTTCTCTATCTTCCAGCCCTTGTCTTCCATGAACCTGATGAAGCCCTCTGCTGCCTTCTCGTCACCCACTAGCAGCAGATCATCTACATGGATGGTAAGGTATAAGCGACCATCTCCTGAATCGTCACTCTGATTGGCTATCTTCATCATTGTGGGCTGCATCACATCCTGCGTCAGGCCATATTCCTTGGCAACTTTGCAGAAACCTTTGAACCATTGTGCTGCCGCGTTCCGTTGGCCCGGCAGGTTCTTCCTCAACTTGTACTGGGCATTCTCTGTCACGATCATTGCCCGCTCATCTTCCGGCTGGTCCATCAACAGGAAAGCGTCCTTCACATCTAATGTATACAGCGCCAAACCTGTTCTCATCTGAAGCTGCAACAGCATTCTGACCACCACTGATGCCGACGTTGGTGCAAAGGCATCCTCCGTGAAGACAGACCATTTGAACTGCCTGCCCACCAGCCTTGCCCGTCGGAACCATCCACCCTGCTCATCTCGATGCTTCCATGTGATGACCATTTTGGATGTCAACACATATGATCCTTCTTCTGCCTCTTCACCATCTTTCATTCTCTCGAGCACTCCCATTGCTTCAAGACGTGCTTCTTCATGCTTGCACGCCTCTGACTCGGCCACATATAGTGCTGTTCCCCACTGTTGATCTTCAGGGGCTCCAGAAGTGAACGTGAAGCCATAGTCGAAACTGATCACTGGCCTCCCTCTGTCCTTTCGTTCACCTTGGCTCTCTTTCGTTCTTGGGTCCTCCTTTGACCTGGTGGCCACGCATTGCTGACACCACGACTGAAATGGTAGGTGTGTCAGCTGATGAAGCTCTTGTTCGTGCCTGCTGGGCAGCTTCGGTGTCTTCAATGGCACTGCCTCACGTCGACTTTCAGAAAAGAGCCGCTGTGCCACCTCGTAAGCCAACTTCTCCTCCTCCTGGTGCTTGTATCTCTGGAGCCTCTTCAGCACTTTGATCTTCGACCCTGAAGTTGCCAGGCCCAGCCGTTTGCAAATGTCTTGGAGGTCCTTCAACTTCGCCTCCTTGTCGAACCATACATCATCGATCTGGACTTTCAACTCTTCAGGATCGACGAAATGAACATCCTCGGCAATCTCAGCTCTTCCTCCACTTCCTGCTGCCAACATGGGGAACTCACCACCTTCTTCATCACGTTCATCATCTGGCCATGATGACGGCTCTCCTTGCAGCAGTGGGTACTGACTCACAGGGACCTCTGAATTCCAGACAAAGTAATCTCGAATCAAACCTGGAGCCACAAAAGTCAGTGCAGGTCGAGGTCCTCCTGGAATTGCTCTGAATGGCAATGGTGTGTCTCTGTACACAGCCAGACTTTCTATCTGCTCCCAGAGCCCGCTGTTGTCCTTCTTCTTGAGCAGCGTCAGGCGTGCACACCATTCGTCACCGAAGGACATACTGGGATCCAGAAAGTGTGTGGCCTGAGGGCTCGAATGGACCACAATGCCATTGGGTAGTGCATGCCACCCTGGCACCTTTTCCAGCAGTGCTAGCTCTCTGGATATGTATCCCTGCCGTGACTGTCCTTCTTCTCGAACTGGAAAAACGTGATTCTCATCAACTTCCACGTCCACGACAGGACTATCTGACAGCTCCATGGGCTCACTCTTCACTTCTCCATATCTCAACTTCCAGTTCGCCCATCTAGCCATCCGTGCCTTCACCTTGCCATCATCACTGCTGCTTGCTTCCACCACCACATCACCTGACTCTTCAGTGGTGTAGCCAGGTGATCTATGTTCCACAGCCTCTGCCTCTGCTGTTTTCGATTTCTTTGCAGGTGCTTCATCTGTTGATCTCTCTTCTGCTGCAGGCGGCATTTGCTCTGACAACTCCTCCATCAGGGCCAATGTTCCTCCATCCTCTGCATCAACAGCCCGTTTCACTCCTCGTTCACCTCCTGCTGGATCTGGATGATGCACACCCTCAGTTGAGCCAGTTGCTGACTTCTCGACATTCTCAGCCTCTTCCTCGACGGGTTTGGCCATGTCATTCGAAGCGACTGCATTCTCCTTTGGCACATCGTCATTCTTGGAAGCTTCATTCTCCACTGTCAAGGGCTCATCGTCCATGTCATCTGCCCGCACCGCACAGACCCGGACATCCATCACTAAGGAATTTCGCTCCAGTCGTGCAGGAATCTTCATCTTTCTGTCAGGGTGCTCGACATGAAGACCATCTTGATCTCTTGACAACACCCAGCCCTGTTTGAGCAACCGTCCAAAGCTCAGCAAAGGATGTGATACTCCAACTCCCAGGGCAAACTGTTCAACAAACTCAATGAGCTCTCCATCACGGGTGTAGGCCTGTAGTCGCAGCCTGCGGTTTCCTGAACTCTTGATTGCACCACCTTGGGCATCCATCATTGACACTGATCGTGAAGTGCCCGGCATGCCCATGGCATAGTATTCTTCCGGTGCTACCGATACATCTGCACCGGAGTCCAATGTCAAGGCAATTGTTGGTGCTTCTTGCCTGACCATGCAAACTCGAACCTTCATTGCTTGTTCATCATTGCATTGGGCTCGTGGGTCATGTCGTAGGTCATGATCTCCTGTACTTCCCAAGGTCGAAGTTCCAGGGGGCTCAAACTCACTCTCGCTCTGGCAGTCGTAGAAGGTCTCTTCCTCAATCTCATTCTCTACTTCTCGCACGGCCAAAATGGCCATAGCCAGGTCTTCATCATCATTCTCTGTCTCCGGCTCTTCCGCTGAGTCATCCTGCGTCAAGTCGAAGATCTCCATGGTTGCCAGACCTGTAGGCGTGACCAGTCGCACTCTCCTGACTCCAGCCCTGTACGTAGAGTGGGAGGTTTGACCAGTTGACGCTCCAGTCGCCTGACTCTGATCTCGTCCTGCTTGAGTCGTTTGTTGACTCTTGTTCAACTCCTGGCCATCGTGCTCTTCAACCTTGTTGATCTTCTTGGGAGCCCAACATTCCCGGGCAAAATGCCCAGGCTTGCCACAATTGTGGCAGGTCCCAACTCCTCCTTTGCCCTTCTTTCCATCCTGCTTGCCAGAGCTCTTCATGCCCTTGCCACCCTTTCTGCCTCCGTCCTTGGACCAGGGGTTCTTGCCTTTCTGACTCTTCCCCTTGTCTTTTCCCTTCTTGCCCTTCTTTCCACCTTTCTTTCCGCCTTTGGACCAAATTGCATCCACCTCCATCGGACCCCCACGATCTTCGGTGTCCATCAGCGGCTTGACATTCATCTGCAGGCTCCCATCACTCATCCACCTCTGACTGACTTGCTCATACATCTCAATCCTCTGCCGGAGGTCCTCAAATGTGGTGTCGTCCTGTAAGGTCATCTGGATGTGGAGCCTCAAGGTGGAGGGCAAGGCAGCAATCACCGAAGCGATTTTCAAGTCATCCGGGTAGGTCACGTTGGAGCTTCGTTCGTACTCTCTCACCATCAGGTCGAACTGGGGCAGCTGCTCGGTCACAGTCTTGTTCATGTCAAACTGAATCTTGTTGAGGGACTGGATCAAAGCCAATGACCTCTGTCTCGTTTTCGGCTGCAGGTCCCTCGTGAGTGTGCGCCAAGCCTCAAGCCCGTTTTGGTTTGCCACTCCTCTGACCAGACGTAGTGGTCGTTGCTTCATCAAACCTGTCAGTAGTGAGTACAGGCGCTCGGACTGAGGACGGATGGTCGGCAGTGCATCGTTGATGGCATTTTCTTCCTTCTCTGCTGACTTCATGTGGGCTAGCATTTGGGGATCTACTGCACCAACGAACGTCTCGAACTGGAACCGCCAATCCATCCACCTGTTCAACTCTTCACTTCTATTCTCAGGGGCGAAGTTGGTCGGTGGCTTCAGGTGCTTAGTGAACCCTGAGCTCTTCTGAACTTCAATGAGTCCATGAAGGGCCTGAACCAGCCCTTGGACCCCACTTATGGAGCCAACAGCTCCAGCGGTCGCCCCACCAGTGCCCTCCTGCTCTTCAGTGCCGGCCATGTGCGAGACCCGGCTTCTGACACTCACCCGGGATTTCGGTGAGCCGTTTCCCCCTGGTGGATTGAAAAGGGTTTCCCCGGAGGTGCTGGGGCTACCAGCAGAGCTCCGCTACCATGAAAAAGATCACACGCCTCTTTTCACGTGTACTTTGGGCCTCAAGTATGTGCGCAGTTCACCTAGATGCATACCATGTGTTCCACCAACTATGACATGACTGAACTTCCTCTCGATCCTAACAAGAATCCTTTACGCACTGCCAGGGCTGGGCACGGAAAGGTTGAGGCTTCAGTTCGTTAGTCTGTGACATGGGGACACTTCGCCCACTGGCTCTGCCGGAGGATTGCCTTGCGTTTCTATTCTTTGTCAGTCCGGTAGAAAGGAAAACAATGAAAGCGATGACCTTCGATAAATCTTTCGCGGAAAAAACAGATACTTTCGCGAACCTCATCGCGAATCTTTCGCGGATGGTTCTAACAACATCTGAAAGGCTGTTTTATATAAAACTCCTTACACGGGGTTTTCGATCAACTCCCATATATAAGGTAACAGCTATGTACACAAAATGTCGTCCAGTGAGAATCACTGTATGATCAAACCAGCATATGTATGCCTATGTACCAGCAATCATTCCCTTCTATCAATAATATTCTGATTGATCTGATTGATCCAGCTCAATTTTGATCAACTATAGGACCAACCACACAAGGTTGCTTGGGGATGCTGCTCAGCAAAACCCCCTATGCAGAAACAGTGCAGGGCACATCTTTGGTCTGAGCTGCATGTCTGCCTGCAGATGTTCCATGCGCCTGAAGTCCCCACGCCCATCTCACCAAGCGAATGTTTGGTACTTTCTGCTTAGTGCTTCTCAAAATCAATGACCACCTTCAATGGGATTTCACAAAGCTCATGAGACAAGTCAGCATTTCCAGGGCTCAAGCTTGTCGAGCACTGCTTCCTTCTCCTTGTCTGCTGGCAACGCCGATAAATTGCAGACCTTTGCGTGCAGGTGGCAATCTTGAGGATTCATGCTTGCAGGCTTTCTTTAGTTAGTGGCGCTGAAGCATGTAGGGTAGGATGCCTTGCTTGCTAGCTCTGACATGTCTGTAACGTGTAGTAGGTGCAGTACTTTCTACTACCCATGGTTTAAGAGCATGGCAAATTGCTGCATGAAAACCATCGTGTTCCAAGCTGCTCTGAATCTTGTAGTCTCTACAAACATGACTTTTTGGAAAGGATGCAAGCCTAACATCGTAATTTTTGTTGGTTTGGTACAGTCGATTACAATCTAGCAATCCAAATGTTTGTATGCAACCAACATACGCAACATAGATGCCTTTCGGAATGGACTAGGCTCCTCTGGGATGCTCTGGGAGCAGGGTAGCAACTTCTTTACCTCTTTTTGAGACCTTTTTTTAAAGCACGGGGGTATTGGAAGAGGTAAGCTAGTAGTTCAAATAAGCTACTAGCTACTGGCTACTGGTTGCAGGATAGCTCACGCTTGCACTATTCATTCGGATCCTAGATTTGTTGGCAAAAAGCATTGTTTGAAACCTTTCCCAACTGAATCCCATGCACATAGTTTGTCCACAAGACTCCGTTCACTCCCCGAGTGTGTTGCCTGCCCCTCACGATTGAAGCCTCAGCTGCAGTAGTCCAGGGCTAAGATCTTTAGACTGGACTACCGTAGAACTTGTACAATAGCTTTGTGACTGCCTGAAAGGCTGTGATTATTTGTCTCAATCAGCAGCACAAAGCCACCAAGTCAAAAATGTTTGTGGCACGGAATGCAGTTTGGTATGCTGCTATAACCATCAATCCTCTTTACATGCTCACCTAGGATCAGCTTGCACAAGCCAAATGGATTGAGTACAGCAAGTTGACACGAAGGTCATGAAGAACCTGGCGCCTAGCCCGCTTTTCTTTATTTGTCCAGTCCATGTGCCTCCTCATGATTCCCGTAACCAGCGACACTTCCTGCAGCTGCTTCAACAGCGCAAGCACTGCTGCGCTGTGGTATTTTGATATATGTTGATGATATTGTTGTACTTTGTTGGCTGGCGTTCTGTATGCTTCTGCCTACTGTTGCTTGCCTCAGTTCTCAGTTGACACATTATGCTGCCAGTAGTGCGCTCTGCTTATGTCAGTCGTGCCGCTTCGGGTGTTCCATTGCGCTTCTGATCTGTTCACAGCCACCGTTCGGAAGCTTCGACTCGGCTTGCCTGAATCAGCACCTGCCTTGGGCGAGCAAACCTTTAGCGCTCAAATCCATCAAGCTTCTCTTGACAAATTGACATGCGAAACCAAAAACTACATCACGCTACAGACCCCTTCAACCCCTTCGTAGAGGGGCATCATATTAAAGGGAACCAAGCACCGGCACCTTCTGATTTTGCTCTCATCGTCACTCGCATGACTGTTTGTCTGGTCCATTCCCACGCGTCTCCACAATACAGGGGCAAAGGCCTTTGTCATCATTTCACTACCCATGTTGGTCTGCCGCGCCTGTTTAGGCTGCTCTTTGGTTTACGTAGACATGGATTGAACCACTGCCACTGCGAACTGGAAAATCTATCTACCTTTTGCACATTCCAATCATAAATCTTCAAATCTACCTGCCACACCGCATGCCCAAATGAAGCTGAGGTTGGCAAAAGACGCAACAATGGACTTCTCACAAAAACTTGAAGTGCCGGTGACTGAACACCTCACTAAAGTGTATGCACTACAGTAGCATGTTTTGGTACATCTTTCAGGCTATGCAACTGGGCACTGGGCACCCAAACATTTTGGTAGCTCTTCCTCGAAGCAGCTGCGGACAGATCTCCGAGCCTAGCCGCTCTGGAGAGTATTCCATAGCCAAAACGGAGATGTTAATGGATATGTTGTCTATGTATGCTTCAAATCCCCTTCAAAGGATGTGCGACACCGTTCCACGCAAAGAACCTCATGCAAATCTGGTTTTGCAAATCCTGTCAGCCAAATGAAAAAGTCTACCTCCAGCCAAACATACAAACTGCCAACAGTATCACTCTTAGGAACCTCAAACGATGGGAGAGCTGTGCTTCTTGTCATGTTCATACTTTCACACGGTGCTGTGCGAGCCTGGCTATGCCCAAGACCTGACAAGTTTCGTTTTCAATGGTATGAATCATGGATTCAACAGAAGTGACTGCTGCCGGAATGTCTGACCTGCCAGAACAATTGCAGTGGGCACGGCAGGATAAGCTCCACCGCACTACTCTATACCCCATCTTTTCAATGTGAGTTGATTGCAGGCTTTTGCTGACCTAGATGAGTGCATGTTTAATTGATAGAAAAGGCTGCAAACTGCACAGTTCAAATGATACTCGAAAGAAAAACGGCAAACCATTATAGATGAGATGCTTGACCAATGCTCACACCTGCATTCAACTAGTCTTGGCCACAAGTTGCAGGTTATGGCACGCTATTCAGAAGGCTTCAGCAGTCTTGAGCTCTTCGTGATTCAACTGAGTTCTGCACTTGAAGACCATACAGGAAGTATTGCCTTTTCAGTGGTTGGAGGCCATCGCTATTGGGTTTCCAGGCCATGCCTAGTAGATTGGAGGCCATCGCTAGTAGGTTGGAGGCCATCGCTCTTAGGTGTTCTTCACGCGACTTTACTCTCACACCTCTTGCATGCTGGCAAGGTACACACCACATTACATCACCAAGCAAGCACAGAACCATCCTTTCCCTTGACGTTTCCTCCACCTAAAGTCTCAAAAACCAGCCTGGTCTGCTGAGCTGAGAAATCCCATGGCAAGTCTTTGCAAAAAAAATACTGTATATAGACGGAAGTGTTGCGAACATGTCTTTTCAATCTTTTGCTTGATGACACAAAAGGTTGTTTTGTGCGGCAAGTTGTGGCGAAGTTGTCACCCTCAAGAAAAACTTGAATATCTTTGGCATGAATGGCTGCGATCCTGTAATTGTTGCATGAACATGACAGGCAATTGGTGTCAAAGTGTCATTGATTCTCGAAGGAACGCATGTTTTCTTCGGTCACTCCGCTTCCAGGATCAGTCTCTGAGCGTTCTTTTCGAGGTATCTGCCCTTGAGCACCTCACAGTCTAAGTGGACATTCGATGCTGCTAGTTGGTATGTCTTGACTCAGGTTTCCACTCCAAAGAACAAGGACGCAACAATGAGGCCGCTGATGCCTGAGTTTCATCAACCATTATATAGTACAAATGCTCAAGTTCAGGCACAAACTACGTTTAGCCTTCGAACGCCCATCAAACTCATATGGAAACATCTGGATGGCGTCACGGCACTGAACAGGATACCAGTACATAAGTACTGTCTTGTTGTGTGAATGCATAAAATTAATATGTATATATATATGGTAACCCCCCAAGATCAGTGGTTGATTATAGTTACATGCATGTATAAGCAGATCACATCATGTGACCCTGTCTGTGCATATGATTTGCACATATGCATGACTGCATCCACATGATGTAAAATCATCATTAGTGATTTACAAATTCAATAAACTGAATGATTAAAGGTTAAGTATATAAGCTATGTGGGGGGAGAGTGTACTAACATGTCTTCTTGAAGAAGAGTGGAGAAGATGGGATATTGTGAAGTCTTGAAGCTTGAAGGAGGGGAGGCGGGGCGTACTGCAAAGTTTTCTTGAAGGAAGGGGGGGCGTGCTGTGAAGTTTTCTTGAAGGCTTGAAGGAGGGGGGCTGAAAGAGTGACTAAGGCGTAGATACAACGATATGACAAGTAGCATGGATATGGAAGTGCAATCTGTACAGGTCCTACATTTCAGCAGGCACAATTCACAAAACACTTCCACCACATGCAGCGCCATGTCGCTGTCTTTTCCTCTTTCTAGGCCAAGTCGAAAGTCCAGCAGTCTACAAACTGACACAAGACCAAGGTGCCACCTGAGAAGCTGCAAAACGAAAGCCCGCGCTTTTGTGGGGCTGATTCGCAGTGCGAAGCCGGGAAGAAGCTATTTCCACTGTCTGTGAAGCCTGATGCGCGCCATACCTGGGAACAGAATTGTAGCTACAAGACCTTTATTTTCAAGGTGGCCTGAACAGAGTGTTTTAGGGCAGCAAACCGTGGTCTCAGGCCACCTTGAATGTAGCTTGAAAACCACAGCTACATAGCTACCCTGGGTGTCTATACCTGGCAAGGTGCCAACTACACCTTTATTTTCAAGGTGGCCTGAACAGAGTGTTTTAGGGCAGCAAACCCTGGTCTCAGGCCACCTTGACTTTAGCTTGAAAACCGCAGCTTTGAAGCCTCATGCGCGCCATACCAGAACTGTAGCTACTTGTAGCTACCCTGGGTCCGTATAAATAGTATGTTGCTATACCTCTTACACACCTATACAAGTTCAAAGCACGAATGAGACTTCAAGGCTGTGGATTGCTGTGCGTGTGTAGAGGTTCTCAAGCGGTTGACGGAAAGGGAACTTGAAGAACTATACCTGGTAGCTGCACTATAGCTACCCTAGGTCTCTCTACCTTGCAAGGTGCCAACTACACCTTTCCATTCAGATGATGCAAATGATGCATTTGGCATCTCTTGCATCACCACCCCTCAAAAATCACCTCCAACACAACCTCAAAAAACCTTCCCTCGGAGCACCCTCCTCCCCCAGCATGTGCTGAGTTGACGTATACCTTTCTCGGGCCACCCCCCCAGACCCCCTAACTACTCACTTCGTTCGCCAGACACAACTCCGCTAGCGCCTTCTACGAAGGCTGGCTTTCGTAACATACCTACAAGTCAGATCTTTTACACGCCGAAAAGTAGTCTCTTAGCTTAACAGTACAGAAGGGGAGCTATAGCTTACTCACCCTTATGTCAAAAATTAGTCGGCTGACTGTACATTCAGCTGGCGAAGACACCATGTATCGGCGCTCAGTTGGTCTGTGAAAGCTGCACCGCACGATATCTGAATTCAAAAGTTGAGCAGCTCTCAACGACCACGCATCGCAAAAACTCGAAAATTTTGAAATCTGCACTGACTGCATCGAATCAAAAGACCTCGCAAAATGAATGGAGCAGCAGGCTTGAGTAAAGATCTTGAGGGTAGTGGTCTCGGCCGCAAAAGAACACACACACAGCAGGCTTAAAAGAAAAACACGCGCATCAAAATGACTCTTCATTCCAAAACAAAAAACTCACGAGGCTCAGACAAGATAGCCGCAAGTGATCTGTACACGGACGAATCTATGCACTACACTCACAATGAATCTCCTGATCATCTTCCTTGATAGAATCTTCATCATGAAGATTCAACGTGGCAGCTCTAAAAGTGAAATGAAACGGCAGATTCAAATCACAGCTGTACACAGCAATGAGTCATCGAAAATCATCTTCCATGAAAAGAAGTAAACTCATTCTTTGAGCAGAGCAAGTGATGTCATTTCTGATAAAATGTATTCACAAGCTCAGCGGGGTTAAAACCTACCGCGCAACACTCACTCGTTGCCTATAGGCTCACCTGCCTTTACTTGTGGTTCTCACGCTGTTTGGCCTTTCGGCCCTGATTCTTCCGACGCAAGGTCTCACCCCATCTGTAGTCATTCTTCTCGGCGCTGGTGACTCGAGCCGGATGCAAGGTCATGTACATGGGACCATGACTGTGTGTATCTCCTGGACGAGAGCACGTGATGTCCTGATCAATGAGAGCGAACTCTTCAGAAAAGTCAGTGTAGCGGGTAAGCAGGACTGGGCGTAATGTGGTGTTTTCGGGTTGGGCTGCACTCGGTGCGTTGCACTCGGCGCGATGCACTCGGCGCGTTGCACTCGGTGCGTTGCACTCGGGGTGTTGCACTCGGTGCGTTGCACTCGGCGCGTGGCACTCGGGGTGCTACACTCGGCGCGCTGCGATACACTCGGCGCGCTGCACTCGGTGGGCTGCGCTCGATGCGCCGCGCTGCGCTCGGTGCGTATACGATGCACTCGGCACTCGGTGCGCTGAACTCGGTGCGTTGCACTCGGGGTGTTGCACTCGGCGCTCGGTGCGCTGCACTCGATGCGCCGCGCTGCGATGCACTCGGTGCGCTGAACTCGGTGCGCTGCACTGGGCGCGCTGCGATGCGCTCGGCGCGCTGAAGTCGGTGCGTTGCACTCGGCGCGTTGCAGTCGGCGTGCGGCGTTCGGCGCGCTGTGATGCACTCGGCGCGCTGCGCGCGGTGCGCTGCGCTGTACGCTCGGCGGGCGGCACGGCTACGCGCGCTAGATTTGGCACGGCGCGCTCGGTACAGTGGAGCAGGCGCGTTGCAATGGGCACAGAGCAGTCGATGCGCTGCATGCTCTGGGTCCTAGACATTCTTGCATCGACGACTAGGCTGTGCAGCTATTGGAAGTGTTTGTACTATCACATCATTGTGGAAAGGATGGTTATCCGGTTACAAATTATATGTTATGTCTCAGGGCCTACTAGCTGGAGACCCATATGGTATGCTAGATTCTGCTAGATGTTGCTTGAGCATGGGGCATTGTGCTTTGCATATATATTTTCCTCAAGAACTAGACATGCGCACACCCGATCAGCAGTTGCAACGTGCTTTTTGTCAACGCCTACACATCAGTTCCAGTGTGACGCCATGCGAAACCCGGATGGCTGGGTGGTCAACTGGGGGCGCCACGCGGGTTACGAAACCCGTCCGACCGATCCCGGATCCGCGGCCAAAGCATGCGAAAGCTTAAAGCCAAAGTGAAACCAGAAAACGTTTATGCAAAGTACTCTGAAATTGTGGCTTTTCTCTTGCGTAGCATGCCAGGAAGGAGGCTCCGGAAGCCGAACCTCAAGAAACGACACGATCCGAACCGAACCTCAAGAAAAAGAAACAAAACAGGAAGCAAAACGGCGGAACGGGAAAAAAAGAACCGTCCGTTCGGAAACCATTTGCATACGAAAAACTACACGTATACACAGTTGATTAGGTCAGCTCACTATGACGTGGGCGAATTATATAAAGACTGTGTAACTGATACGCTCAAAGCACGCGCGCCCCGTTTGATTCCCAAGAGCCCCCCCGTGGCTTCTCGCGTCATGTCAAAGATAGGTTTATGAGCGGAAGCCGCATGTGAGTTTGCTGCCTGCGCCTGTCCTAAAGACTTGAGAAACAGTGGGCATTGATCTCGACTTCCTACTATTTAAAAGCAAACTCTTAAAAATAGTAGTCAGGGAATGGCTCCACATAACACAGGCATAGGCGCACAGGAACTACATCAACCGCACTTCTTCAGGTTTTGTCAGAGAAAACTATCTCGGCCCAACCGCAAAGACTCACACATTTGCATCGGCTCAGGCGTAGCAGCAATGGAGGCCCAGGCAGCAACCTGGTAGAAGGACACACTAGAGCGTGGCCCAACGCATTTCTTGTTCCGCTCCGAATCGGCCAGAGCCGGGATGAAGAGTTTTGCGACTATATACTAGCTTCTGCCCCAAAGCCTGCAATGCGTCTGCCAAGTTCTACGGGTTCCTGTCCTTCAGCTTGCAACGCACGTCCGCCAAGGCAAAGGCATCATAAGGCAGCTTCCGAGCACAAAGAATTCTAACCGTATCCCGCATCATTTTGGCCTCGTTTAAGTCTTGCTCTTGGCGAATGCCACCGCTACGCTTCTATGACGATCCTCGCCAACCAATGCCGCTTCCTGAGCTGCCATAAACCTGTAGAAGCCACGGTGGAGCTCAAGTTCACGGAAATACTTGCGCGCTGTCGCCATAAGCTCCATGGGCTGAATCGCTCGGCGGCCCGGCTCAAATTGAAGGGAGGAATTATGAGTCTCAAGGTATTGCACCTGAACACACGCGCGCAACCAAGGTTGTAGGAAACCCTCACAACGAATGAGCAATGTCCCACCGTGGAGAACAATGCATTGGGATATGTTCGACCTATCTAGCGAATATCGTGGCATCTTAGAGTCTTAGAGCACTAGAACAAATAATATGTTGACATAGATTTTGACAGTATACTTCAGGAAAGTAGCTGAAAAGTATCGAGGTTCTTACTTCTGAAAGACTGATCGTTTAGATCCAACGCCCCCCTTGCTTTGACTCCTTACTCGCATCTTGAGGAAAGTAGCTGGAATCAATAGGACTATAGGGATCAGATCTGGATCATCTGTGCGCACAAATCTGGATCATCTGCGCACACAGGGCACATGGGGTGGGGAGGGGTGGGGCTCGCATCTGAGCACCCTGGATCAACACCCGGCCTTCGCACCTACCGTAAGAACCCAAAGTATGGCCACACTGTTTAGGCACCCCGCATACGGAAGCCGCGTGTACAAACGATCCCCGTCACCGCGTGTACAGACGATCCGATTTCCGCGTGTACAGACGAACCCCTGTCCCTGTGGACGGGTCCCTAAGTTCTGAAAATGACCGGCGACATAGCCGTCTGGCGCCACCAATGATACCATAACAGCTAAGTTCTTCACGTCATTAAAGACTACACAGCCCTGATGCGCGGGCATACGGGCATGTGCGTGTGCGTTCGTGTGCGTTCGTGTGCGTGTGTGCGAGTGCGTGTGCGTTCGCGTGCGTTCGTGTGCGTGTGTGCGAGTGCGTGTGCGTTCGTGCGCGTGCGGGTGCATGTGCATACGCGTGTCTGAAGCTGAGGTCGCCTGGCTTTTCCATCAAACCCTGGTGCGCACACATTGGGAGTGTGCAGGCGTAAGAAGCTGTGCCAATCGTCGCATTTTGCTGTGCAAGGAGCCTCCGGATACGCGCAGTCCCCCCAAGGGCGTCGCCGGTGGGCGAAGCCTGTCAGTATATATATATATATAGTGAAGCCACGGACCATCATATTGTTTAATGCACCCGTCGTGCAGGTTCTTTCGGCTCTTTTAGTTTAGTTGGCTTCCCGTTTGAGTCCGGCAACATTCTCAGCCCATCAAAGACGAAACAACGCTGAATTAATTTATGCAAACGCCAGTTGCATCCTCACTCGAATAGCATCCAAAAGAACGCCATTTGAATACTTGCAATTCTTGGATTCACTGTGGTTCAGTGGGCCATTTAGCATGCCTGTTTCACAGCGTCACCCCAACTTCAGGTCAGTTCAGTGAATTCGGAGAGGCTCCCGACCGAGCTTCCATTTCAAAAGCCAGGGCCTTGTGATTCATTTGTGCAGGACATGTGTCTCGACGTGCGCACTTCGTGCCGTTACGAAGCAAAACCGGTCTTCTTGCCACAAGGGACTTTGGAGTCGTAGAAAATGTCATTTGTACTTACTATATAACTTATACTATATTCATGTATATCCTGGAAAAAGGTCATGTCGGAAACTGATTGATTTGGTAGAGCAAACCTGAAGTAAGTCTATAGTCACAACTGAGCTTCCTGGCGGAAGAAGCTTTCTGCGAGCCAAGGCTACATCAAAGGATGACATGCCTGACTTTGGTCTCTGAAGGCAGTCATTGCCACAAGAAGGCTCAGTAATTACGTCACATCCAGGGTATTTCCACCTCTTAATATCTTTTGCGGGGATTGAATTGCACGAGCTTCGATATGCTTCGATCAGCAGGCCAGTCTGAATGGCTCAAGGATTAGATGACGGAGTACCCCCCCTATCCCGCCTCGGCAAATGACTGTTTGGTGATAAGTTTAGCCACTCACTGTTTTGCGAAACGATAGTTACAATGATCAGAAAGCTGGGCTCATGTGAAGCATGCACCTGAGTAGCAAATAATCATCAGCCAATAACTTGGCCTCAGCGCTGTTCACACTCGTGGATTGAAGCCATGAATGGTAGAATTAATATGGGGTGTGCGGAAAACTGGCTACGTATGAGTAAAAGTGAGCCACAGCCGCCACAGCCAGCATAGCCTTTTACGACAAGCTCAGCTTGATCATCTATCAACCACTCAACCCTCACACAGAAAAACGAGCACTGAAGCAAGGACGCTACTAGGGGCTCCTGGCATTGCTACTAGGAACAAGAAGCTACTAGGGGCTCCTGGCCTTACTACTAGGAACAAGGACACTAGTATCCGTAGTAGAATTGCCCGATCACGTCTCGGGGGCATAGAGGGCAACTCCCACACATTCCATAGTTGATCGTCTTCAAGTGCACGAGCTAGTAGCTTGTTTAGAAAGTCACAGTTCTCATGGATTCTGATTCTTTACTGCGTCTGAGCAAAACTTGGGAGGGAAACGGCCTTTGCAATTTGCAAGGAAGTCCTGGGGCCAACACCAAGGACCAAGGCCTGCAACACCATCCGCTAGTACCAGGCCCAAAGCCTCAGAAAGAGTGGGCAACAAACGACAAGTGGAAGTTTGGAATCGGAACACTGTTTTCATTGCTTGGCCATGCTTGGCCTGTTTGTAGCCTGTTTGTGGCTTGTCTGTGAAGCTTTACGACAATTTAAGCTTCACCAGTGCTGCAAGTTCCCCTTGTAGCTCTTGGAGTTGCATAGCACCTTTGTCAATTAGTAGCTTCAGGCAAACTCAATATCAACCCAGAATGTTTGGCAAGAACCTGCCAACCACGTGACATGTGGTGGTGATTGACAGCTATCAACAATAGTTCACGCGATGGAAAGCAATGAATACAATGAACGATTGAACATGTTGATACATTGTGTAATATGAGGACGTGACATCATAGCATGACCCCAAGTCATGAACTGCGACGAAGTCCTGCACCATTCCAACCCATACTGCCCCATCCCTCTACCAAGATGCACTAGTTTGAGGTTCGGTTGGCGGTTAGGGTTCGCTAAGGGTTGCTGTTTGTTGTTGGAGCGCAGTTTTGGTTGTCAGGAAGAGTGAGCACACGTGAGCACAAATACTGGACGAGAAGGGAGGAACAGGGGACAATCTGGTGCTCATGTCACGGTCAATGAATGTATCCACAAGAAAGCAGGTCTGGTCGCCGAGCCAAAAGCTAGGTCCTTTTGACTCAAGCCTGGAGTAACAAGATTTGCACATCTATGTTTGCCAAACATACACAAAGTTTAACGGCTGTCAAAAGTCGGCAACCATCTTTCTGCTCATGTTGTCTTGGCCATCTGCTTTCCTTGCCATGAATCCATGCAACATCGACACCCGCAAAGTACCAGGCCCCAAGGGTGACGCCCATGGGACCCGCTAGGGTGCGGCAGAAAATCCAAGGACCTGCGAACAAAGAACACGAGAAGCCTTTTTGCCAACAGTCGCCTCTGGTGCAGATTTGCCTGCACAATCTCGATTTAACAACTAAAGCTCATCACGCAGCCCTGTCCCTACACCCGGGCCCTGAAATGATCATGCCAGGCCCTAATAAGCCAACATCAACGGGCTCTGGATAAGGTCACTGCGATCAGGTGCTAGCTGGCTAACATGAACTGATAGCACCGCTACTTCATGTTTCAGTGAAATCTATCCTTGCACACCCTATATACATGTCCACCTCTCGGCAGCCAGTACCAATGCTAGTATCAAATACCCAGCTGCATTGTTGGCCTTGCACTAATGGCCCAAAGCGTGCCGTGTTCAGACCTGGAGCTCTGGCGGAGGCAATAGTGATGTATTTTGGACAGCTCTCTAACTACAGTCTATACACGATCAATCCCATGACTGGCCAGTGTGATACAACCCCAAAGCTACTTAGTTTGCCCAATATGACATCTCAATTGCAAACTTGTTTGAGTTTTGATGGTTCTCCATTCTGAGAACAACTTGCTGATAGTATGCTTGAAGCCGTATCAAAGTGGACATTATAGTACAGTATATAGATGCTTTGTAAACACACACCCAAAAAGTCAGTGTTGATGCCTTGAGGTACAACAGCTATAGATAGTTGCTGCCTGCACACCAACCAACTCTCCTCAAATAACTCAGGTGGCCGTGCCAAGATAAGTACCACCCCACCAGGCAAAGACCAGCCTTGGCAAAAGAATTACAAAGTACAAAACCAAGCAACACCTTTCTTGGGGTTGTGTTGGTAATTTGTTATCCTTGACCTGCGCTTGTATACTATCTTTCACTGTTGTTGTCGACGGCCACGGGCCACTGCATATCTTGAATTGCACACCACAGTCACCGTCTCGGCGACTCATTTGATATCGTCATCAGTGATCTGCAGTCACTTTGCAAAGGCCAGTCTACCGCCTGCCATCTCTTAATGATCCGGTGTCCCTTGTTCTTGATGTTGACCCAAACCAACAACCAACTGAGTGGCGGCGCGCTGTGTACTTCAGGTGGTACGGCCTCAGGACCCAACTGAAATGCAGCTTCGAAGATCTATATAGCTTTGCGCAGCATATGCAGCATATGCATCAAAATCAGTTTTAGCCGCCGCATGATGCCAGGCCTATGGCCTATATAAATGTAAAGGTTGAAAAGAGGAGACTTGCATTGAATCTCACTACTGCAATGTTGACAGGCAGTGCTTTACCGTGTTCATTCACGAAGGAGCTCAAGCACAATTCATGCCGACCATGTGGCATGAACATCTCGAAGATCAAAGGAGAAAATGTGCCAACGTTGACGCCTCAAATTGACTGAGGGACTGGTGATTGAAACTTGCCTGTACTGTATATTATCTTCCTTTTGAAAGCTACAAAATGCTACAATCATGTGATTTTCTTCCAACTACTTGTTGTGTTTCCAGCGGCTTACTCACCCCACTGCTGCGCTGCACCACCTTGTCGGAGAGATGGATCCTTACTGAAAGTCCCCTGGTGTGGTAGAGGATTGAATAACATGGTGACAGCGGTGTTATGGGCCCCTGCGTTTTTGCACATCTAGGATGGGCCTTGATTCATGAAAATGCAGGCTTCATGGAGAAAATACATACTCATAACTTTGTGGATGGTTTTCGAGGGATTACTGCTTGTCCACATGTTTTCTTGTGTTCGGCGTATTGGCCACAACGGCGTACCTGTTCTCAGGGACTGCAAAGATCAAAATTTGTCCCGCAGCCATCGCAGCATATGTTCTCTTTAATTAGCGGACATCAGGCTGCACAAGTTTCCACAGAATATATAAGTTCATGAAGCGATGATGAAGATGAAGTTCATGACACCAAAATGAAGATGCAGTGCATGAAATGCGGATGAAGTTGAAGTGCCTGAAAATGAACATCCTGAAACAATGATGAAGATGCAATTCAAATCAGGATCATGCATTCTCCTTGCAAAACCCACAATTTCCTGGAACAATGATGAAACAACTCCATGAAACAAAGATGAACATTAAGTTCATGAAGCTACGATCGAATCAAATGTTGACGATGATCCAACCGAACATCATTACTGTACCTCGCTAAACAGGACGTCTTGACTGTTGTGTGGTCACATAAGACATCAGTGCAGGTCTAAAAATGTTCAAGACAATAACAGGGGCTTGTAACGTCTGCGCTTCCATCGCGTAGCCTGCTTGAGGCATCTCCCAAACTCATTTGTCAGTTTTCAGCAAACAGTCTTTCTAGATCACGCTGAGGCACATAGAAAAATGCCCTCGAGAAAAGCACACGAGATGAAGACCTGCCCACCGCAGTCAGGAATCAGGAACCAGCCCGACTGGATATTTGTCAAAGCCTGTGCTTAAAACAAGCTGTCTACCAAGCAACAACCTTACTTGCGGCTCCTTTGAGCCAGGTATGGGAAAACGCTGGAACTGGAACTTTTAGATCCGCAAGAAACCTTTGTGTTCAAGATTTGTGTCCCTTTGCCACATGATGCTTGGAACAAAACTGGTCCTCTCATATTTCACTACTTTCATGATCTTTCATATCCACATCTTACTATTTGGCTGTGTCCCGGGCATGTGCAGCAGATGGTGGTGTCGCTACCATCCTGAACACTGAGCACTCAATTGTACCAAGGATGTATTGGTACAATATGCATCCCAACTGAGCTACATGGGAAACCATCCATGGAAATGAATCAGTTGTGCCAGCAAAGACCCCAAACAGCTTCAGCATTATTATTTGTTCCGATGTTGGTGATAACCTCTGTAATTAAATATATTTCTACAGTTTTCCAGTGGCAACAGGAGGACAAGAGGAGGACACAGGGTTCGCAAGCGCAGCCAAAGGACAGCAGGAGGACAACTGGAGGACAAGAAGAGGACAACACCCGGACACAGGGTTCAGGAGCGCGGTCAGAGGCTGTGGCCGTTGACCAGTGTCTTCTTTCCTAAGAGAGAACCGCAACAGTAAACTGTTTGGGGAATGATGTAACCCAGTGGCCCAAAGTTGACAAAAAAAATTATCCAGCATAAAACACTTATGTTCTGAGGACTCAGCTTGTCACCAAAGACCTCTGTCATGCGCCATTGATGTGCCTCGGCGAACTGTCCCAAAGTGTGCAGAAAGCCGCCTGTGGAGGCATGCAAATGCATCTGCAAGAATCCAGACTACCGTACAACATCTGAGCTGACAACATATTACAATATGTTATACATTATTCCGTGTACCTACTGGTGCAATCCTTCCGACATACATCTTCCATGTTTTGGTGGATTTCACCCTCAGCGCTTGCAACTTGCCAGGTCGGCATCTTCGAAATGCCGCCGGAGCCTCAAATGCTCCATTCGCGCTGATTCTGTCCAGTCTATATTTTTGAAGGCTGAAAGGTCGAGGACAAACAAAGCCAAAGCTACATGGCTATTCGGTTGGAGGCCATCGCTATGAGGTTGGAGGTCATCACTATACATTGTCGATTCCTGGGTTTGTGCTTGCACCGTCGATTGTTGAGATGTGATTAAACAAGCACAATCAACGCATCTCTTGCACACCTGTGCCCTCTAAGGTCCATGCTCAGAGGTGGATGGCTCCGGAAGCGTTCTCAGCTAGCATGTACATGTTCTTGTTTTTCTACAGCAAACCACGCGTGCTTTCAGGATACATCTGACGACATCTCGATACTGCTGCTAAGGGAAATTTAGTTCTTCCTTAAAATTGAAGGACTGTATAAAAAAAGAAATGACATGATGACATGTCTATTGATCTCTGTTACAACCGGTCAATGTAGCTTTCCTCGAATCGGTAAAGGGTAGTTGCAGGGACTTCTCTCAGTGCTGCACGCGCTGCTGCGCCAAGCCCGGCACATTCGGGACCATGGCCTGAAAAGCTTGCTTGGCTGATCTTGGCTGTGGCTCATATGAAGATACGATTCTTTCCACTGAATTGGTTTCCATTTGGGAATCTGTCCGGCGGTCAAAGTGCTTGCCTCACAGGCCTCCTTTGAAGTGCACAGCGTAGCATGATGTCCTGTCCTTTCTCTGTCTTGCCCGCCCTCTCCTCCTAAACTCATTTCACCAGTGTTGCTTACTGAGCTCACTGGAAGAGATTACCTACGTAAGATCAACAGAACACCTTCTCCTGCTTTGCCACTTCTGGAGTTGATGTGGAGCGGTCATTTGGTACACACTGCATGTTCGGCACCTGGTAGAGCTAGGACTATATATTGCGTCATTGTCCAGAACCAACAATTCAAACAGTCAACAGGTATATCACTGTAATTACAACGAATTGAATTGGAAGGTTCTACAAGTGACTTGAGTAGTGATCATTTTCTCTCAACACCATTGTCAGCTCTGTGACACTATGGAAGCTTGAGAAAAGCAGAGCCACCGCCACCGCCAAACTTCACAGTGTGAACATGTTTGAAACATCACCAGCTGCATCCGCATACATGTTGTGCTTGAAAAGTCATTATATAATCATTCTCTATAGACACATGACTCAGCTTCTCTGTGAACTCACAAATACGGAGTCGTAACATCAGCTAGAAAAGAGTTGTACTTCTTCATCTGACCAGTACTATAGAGTCTTTGTTCCTCAGAGCGCCAAGAAATCCGCGAGAAAGTGGCGTCTCCGCCTAAGATGCAAACCACCCAAGGATCTGCGCGCACAAAACAACTTGGAAAGAAGTAGAAGTGACTCTGCTATTTCCATTGAGTCTGCCCTGTGGAAACGTGCTTCCCAACGTCACAGCGAGTGAACTGGCTGATGTGTGCTGACATACATCCAAAAAGCGTCGCTTTTCACCCTGTGTGTGCCTCTCCCAATCACAAGTCAAGTATAAGGAAGTATTAATATATTATGTTCCAGCTTCGTTTCATAGAAACACCTGGTCAGCACACCTGAAGCAATAGCTGGGCTGAACCACTTATTTGTCCACTCAAAAAACTGCTTAGGAAAGCAGCCATCAAAAGGTTTGGTCTTCGCACATCAGTGGAAAGGCGTTATGAGGTTTGCCAGTCTGCTGCTGGACCGATTGGAGAATCCAGTTCACATGTTCGCTACTAGGAACAAGAAGCTACTAGGGGCTCCTGGCATTGCTACTAG